TGAATGATGAATTAATTCAGCCTTAAAAGATGTCTGTGTGGAATTTTATTGTTATATTAATTTATAGACTTAGGTACAATTGAAAATATCCAAATGTGATATCTAAATTAGGGTTCTGAGTCTTATTTGACACTTTCTTTGTCCGTAATAATATGAGCAGATGAGCTAACTTAGTTATTATGTTGCCATTTAGTATTGAGTGATAAATCTGAGATATTTACTTTATTCAGTAACAGTTTATTGAGTACACAATGCAATCTGAATTCTAAGAGAAAAGTAAAAGCACTGGCCCTGAAAGTTTCTAGAGTAAAGCTAATATAAGCATCAGTAAGAATGCAATTGTGTAGGGTGATATTGGGCATATATAAGAATAATGCATTAAATGACACTTGCTTAAGAGAGTCAAACCTCACATGAAAGAAATGCTTTTGTAAAAGACAACATGTCAGTAATACCTTTTTAGAAAATACTAGCATAATATAATAATATCAAAACCAAACACATTTTACTTGTATTTTTGTCTTATTTGTGTTCTGTTTATTCCAGATACACTTGTCCATCTAAAATATGCAGCCACCACCCTGAATTACTGATATTCATTACCTCTCATTGAGCAAATCATTCCACCTTTCAATTCCATCTCACTAAAACACTGCTCTCATCCCATCATACATCTTCTCAAGAAGGCAAACACTTGCCCTTTGCTTTCCTATTAAATGTAAATCCTTCTGATTTTCTTTTAAGATTTTAACCAGTGTTTTAAGACTTTGTATGCTGCTAATCTCCAGGGTAAATCATCATCCTTTCCATTCTCCTCATTGTCTAAGAAAAGAAAATAGCTAAATCTATCTCCATGCTGTGTCTTTTTCTCCAAGTAATCTCCCTGATCTTCCCTGTCTGTTAATTGTACTCATTATTAAAATCCAGTTCAAGAGTCTTTACCCCAGTGAAGCTTTTCATATTCTATATTTCTTGGTGCTATAGACCAATATAAAGGTAAACATTCTGCCAGCAACTACGTACAACTCCTTTTACATTCTTGCAAAGGACTCTACTGGAGCAGCTATCATCCACTGTAGACACCATTAACCTGTCTCACCTTGAAACTCCTTCCTTTGGTTGTCAGGATACCATTTTTCTCCTGATTTTCTTCCTACTTCAGTGATAAGTTCTTAGTATCATTTATAGGCTTGTCTTCTGTTCATCTCTTAAATAATGCTGTTGCAGTGGTATCTGTCTTTGGCTGTCTTCCTCTCCTTTTAGAGTGCCTTCTGGAGCAATCTTATCCACTCATAAAAGCCTCACAAATCTATATTTCTTGCTCATATCTCCATTCTGACCTCTAGATATGAACATACATCTGCCCTCTAGACATCTTTATATGACTGTCCCAAGGATACGTCAAGCTCAACAGTCCTAAATGGGTGCATCATTCCTTGTTCCCTCCCAACAAGTCTGTTCTTTATGCTATGTGCTATTGAATTGCCCAGACACACACCATGTTGTCCAAATCAGAACCCTATAGTCATGAATTCTTCCCTTTAGTCCATACCACTCAATGACAAAGTCCTATCATTTCTATTTTCTAAATAATTCTTGAATATGTCTCCCTTTCCAGTGGCATGCTTTTGTTTGATCTATTAAATTACTGTTGTTTATGCTCCGATATTAGCTAGCACTCATTCACCTATTCTATGGATATACTACAGCACAAGTAAATGATTAGTTACTTGTCTAGTTCATTTGTGGACTGTGAGCTCCTTGAGACTAGAAATAATATCTGTTATCTCTATACCCTGAGCACCTAGCACAATGCCTGGCACTTAGTAGGCTCTCAATACATGTTTATTGAGCAAACAAATGATGACCATGACAAAGAAGGAGTTAATGATGACTCTTTACCTCAAAAATCATCAAAGGGAAGAAGTGATTGTTCACCACATAAAACACAGACAAAACTAACAATAGTAACTAGGAGTATTGTGCGTGTACTCTGTTTAAAAGTTGTGCTTACATCATCTTCGTTGAGTCTAACGGGAATCTTCTGAAGTAGGCACCATTTTTAAGGACACAGAGGCTCAGAGAGGTGGTAAGGAGGGAGCAGAAGCAGAATTTTAATCCAGAAAGTATGATCGTAGAGTCCATATTCTAGGCTGATCTATTTGGGGATTTAAAATTTTTGACATTTACTAAATAAAACAGAGCTGTGAAAATTTTATTAATGGTGATCATAGCCTTCAATCTTAGGAGCTAGAAAGCAACAGTGTTTCATAAACAAATGACCTGAGTTTTTTTTAAAAAATAATGTTACTATGTAATACATGATAAAAATGTTATAACTCCACAAAAACTAAGAAAGACTATGTGCTCTTTTCCGCAGGTCCTCCTATTATCACTCTCGAGCCAGTGGGAACTGTTATTAATGCTGGTGGTAACATCATATTGAATTGTCAGGCAACTGGAGAGCCTCATCCAACCATTACGTGGTCTCGTCAAGGGCAATCTATCCCCTGGGATGACCGAGTTACTGTGTTGTCCAACAACTCACTGTACATTGCTGCTGCTCAGAAAGAAGATACCTCTGATTATGAATGTGTCGCTCGAAACTTAATGGGTTCTGTCCTTGTCAGAGTGCCTGTCATCGTGCAGGGTGAGTGTGATCAGAGGGATATTCATATAAACAGTACCTGGGGCCCAAAGTATAAAAATTATTAACGTTTTACTTCGGATCTTCTTTAATCTTGAGATACTTCTAGGTAATGGAAATAGGACAAAACATCACATCATAATTTACAGACCGAAGGGACTAAAACAATACAGATTAGAGTTTTAAATTTTTTTCTTTTTTTTTTGAGACAGAGTCTCACTGTATTGCCTGGGCTAGAGTGCCGTGGCGTCATCCTAGCTCACAGCAACCTCAAACTCCTGGGCTCAAGTGATCCTCCTGCCTCCGCCTCCCGAGTAGCTGGGACTACAGGCATGCGCCACCATGCCCGGCTAATTTTTTCTATATATTTTTAGTTGTCCGATTAATTTGTTTCTATTTTTAGTAGAGATGGGGTCTCGCTCTTGCTCAGGCTGGTTTCGAACTCCTGAGCTCAAACAATCCGCCCGCCTTGGCCTCCCAGAGTGCTAGGATTACAGGCGTGAGCCACCGTGCCCGGCCAAGAGTTTTAAGTTTTTTGATTCAAAACTAAGGCAAACATATTCTCAGAAATCCACAATGTACGTAATTTGTGTTAAAGAAGGCCTCATATCCAGAAATTAAACAACATATAAATTTCTTGGTCTCTGACTCTTCTAGCAGCCATGTCTAAGTGAGTAAAGATTGGATCTGAGAAGAAGCTCTAGTTGACTGAGTTTCTTCTCTCCCTCTTAAATTTCAATTTTACCTTAAAGGAGAACTTCCATAATCTATTTCTCAGCAATTGTAAGTTCAATTCTGTACCCAGTGCATTCTTAAATAAAATCTGATTTACAATTTTTTATTTACACAAGCTGAGACAAAAGTGCAATGTTTTGTTTGCAGTTCATGGTGGATTTTCCCAGTGGTCTGCATGGAGACCCTGCAGTGTCACCTGTGGAAAAGGCATCCAGAAGAGGAGCCGTCTCTGCAACAATCCTCTTCCAGCCAATGGTGGGAAGCCTTGCCAAGGGTCGGATTCTGAAATGAGAAACTGTCAAAATAAGCTGTGTCCAGGTACACCTCTTTCTTTAACTGATAGGCATGTGTTCAATAGAGATTCACTTCTGTTCCTTACCTGTGGATGCCTCAGTGTTAGTACTTTCAGTTGAAATATACCTGATGGTGTAATGATTACCTTTGCACAGTGGACGGTAGCTGGTCAGAATGGAGTCCTTGGGAAGAATGCACAAGGAGCTGTGGACGTGGCAACCGAACCCGGACCAGAACTTGCAATAATCCCTTAGCTCAGCACGGCGGGAGGCCCTGTGGAGGGAATGCTGTGGAAATGATCATGTGCAACATTAGGCCCTGCCCAGGTGAGAAGCCACTGATTATATTAGGATAAGCAAAACTTCCATATTTTTAATTTCTGTAAAGGAACTCTAATTGCCTTTTCTTCTTCATTGTCAAAAGATGTTATGGCCTCTATCCTTGAGAATCTGTTTCATGAAAAAACTTATGAACATATGACATTAATCAATGTTAAGTGAAATACCTGATTTACTTGAATATGAACAAAGGCTCCAAACTGTGGTGTTTTTTTTAATCATGTAATGAAAACATAAGTGCTTACAAAGTCACAAAGTAACATCTGATCCAGCCGTCCATTTTCAGGTAAGAAAAAGGAAGCCTAGAGAGGTTAAAGACTTCCCTGGAAAGACACAACTAATGCGGGGTAAAATGTAACTACCATTCACTAAATACCTGTCGTGATAGGAACCATTCTACATGCTTTATATTCATGTTGTTATTGACCTGGCATTGTAGGGCTCCTTCACATTAAAGTGATAGAGATCAAACTGAAACAAGCTTAAGCAGAAAACTCTTCAGGTGTAATTGAATCCAAGGATTTGGACAATGTTTTTACTAGCATGTTTTCTGTCTCTCATCCCTGCTTTCCTCTCTTTGGCTTTATTCTCTATTAAACTCTTTCCATGTGGTGGAAAAAACGATTGCTGGCAGCTACTGGCTCACAGCGGCCTTAATCTAAGTAAGGCCTCAGAGAAAAAGAGTTGCTCTGTCTCTCAGAATTCATATCTGCCTCTGAGAAATAGCCCTGTTTCATTTTGTTTGGGTCACATGCTCACCCCTGAATTCCTGTGAGTCCCGGAGACGAGTATTTTGATAGCCAGTTTAGGTGGCTTGCCCATGTCGTGTGAAAAGGGTCAGAGCTCCTTATTTGGCAGCCCAAAAGAGATCATATGGAGTAGAGGAGGGACTGTTCATTCATCTATTCATTCATTCATCCAACAAATTGCTCAAGGCACTGTTGTAATTGCTAGAGTTAGAGTGATAAACAGCCAATACCTTTCAAGTATTAATGGCATGCTGTACAAACTCAGAGTTGAAGTGATGAAGTACAACCGGCAGAGACTCCTTAGCTAGAATGGTTGAAAAAGGGATGTGGACAAACCAAAAAGAGACAGGTACCCACTACAGTGGGTACTGCATCCTGCTGTGCAGACGAGGAAAGGTTCAGAAAATAATGTCAGGTAATTCACTAAGGTTACATACACTAAGGTTAGCCAGTAAAAAGTGAACCAAGGATTCTAACCCAGGTGGATCTGATTCCCAAGCCTATTTGTTTAGATCCTGCG